ATTGTAAAAAAATTTGGTTCTTCTTGTTTTTTATCAAATTTGATGGGAAATAATTTTGTTCTATAACTTTTTTGCAGGAGGAATGAATAGAAATCATAAGTACCAACAATTCTTTATAAATGGTGTAATTTTTAAGGAATTGAGAGGAATTCAATGTTATTCTTCATTCTTTTCCTTTTTAATAGTTACCATTTCGAGCCTTATAATCAAACACGTAAAAAACCGAATCATCATAGATAATGTTAACCCGATTTATTAATTAGTTACCTGTTTAAGTTATTCTTAATAGCTGGAGAGAGTCTGTCGAACTTTATAATCTCCATATATTTTATTAATTACTTTTACCATATCATAATGATTAATTTTATATTAATCAGTTAACCGCAGAACAAACCCTACGAATCTCCCCATCCAACCCCGTCTTGACTTCAATCCGACTCATCTTAACCATCGAACTAGCAAACTCGGGTCTGAAAAGAAGAAACGGAAACCGTAGTCCTAAAAGCCGTTGCACGATGGCTCGAGTCTCGGGATCTGTCCAAAGGTTCTGGTCGGACTCAAGGACACCACGACCGATCCTCAAGTTGTTAAGGTACGAGGTGTCGAACTGGTTTTCACTTCCCGTGTCCAGAGCGACACGAGCGGCGGCATTGCCGTTGATAGGACATTGAGATTGGATCTGAGGGACGAAGCTTGGGTCGATGGTCGGGTCGGGACTTCCTGTGTTGTTGTAGTTGAAGAACCTGCTACTAAACACACCACATCCGGCCGTTCCTATCGTGTGTCCGGCTGTTATATACCAAACTCTCTGTGTGGATTAGAAATCTCGAGATAAATTTCAAATATGTAATTTTGTAATATATAAAAGAAAAAATTCATTATTCACGTGAATGGTAGCTAACTTAGGATGCAAGATATGTTTACAAAAATTGCAAATATAAAACAAAATCGATTAAACTATGCTTGAAACACTCTAGACTTAACTCCAAATTGATTTACGTACCAACAAGGACAACAAGATCTTGTGTGTTAAGATTTTTTGCGGCAAACATCTGTTTCTGCACCGCAACAGAGTCGGTAGGTCCCGGCAAAATGACTTCAGAGGCTAGCGAAACCCGGCCATCGAGTCGTCCCAATGGAACTGGCCACCATGGTCCACCGGTCTATACATATATATATACGACACTTCCATCAAATAACATAAAATTGTAATCAATATATAGATAGACTTATATACATATAATAAAAAGTATAGGTTATACCAAATCCACGAAGTCACGTGCAGCGAGTGCGAGAATATCAGCACAAGAGACTGTTCGAGGACAAGCGATCTCAAGCTGAGTCTTAGCTTCTGCGATGACATTAAACCCTCTTAACGATAGATTTGGAATCGCGGTTCTCTCAGAGTTAGGTCCATCGAGGAGGACTGAGCCGTCGCAGCCACGGACGAAACAATCGTGAAAATGCATACGCAAAATACCCGGAGCGTTAGCTGGATTAGCCTGAAAGTTAGACTGGACCACGGATCGCACTATCGATTCTACATTCCAGCATGCACTACCGTAATACCCAATCCGTGGCCTCGGGAGGAAATGGTTATGGGTAGCATGTGCGGTTGCAGTTGCGGCTAGGACGAGAAATAACTGTAAGAGAAAACGGCGAAGATTAAAACTAACACTACCCATTTTAGGTTTTTCTTAGTTTTTAACACTTCGGATTAGTACATTTGATTAGTTGTGTTTTAGATATTTGAGATTTTTATGTGTGTATTTATACTGAGGGAGCGTAAAATATTCGTGGTGTTAAATGAGTAAGCAATGCCGGGCTACTCATTAACTATTTGCAGCTACGTTTTACCGATATTATCATTTTATAATCATTAACTTTTATATTATAGTTTTGTTAAAATTTTAATTAAGCATATGAATAGTCCATGTATGCACCAAACTATCTACACGTAGCTTTGTGATTTTTCCTTTTTTGGTTTTACCTAGTTTTTTTGGCTATTAGTTGGCTTTTTAGATGATTTTGGGAAAGAGTTATTTTGCCCAATAACCAAGAAAAAAACAATATTTAACCAAGTAATCAAAAATTCTAAAATTAATGGTTGTGATTGTGCCACATAAGAGG